GGTCAGCAGATGATCCGTAATTTTTCTTTGAGGCACAGGTTACACCTTTTACTTACGCTAATCAAGCTCACCCACAGTAGCGCAAGTGTAATGGGGGAAAGGAAATTTTATTTATCTAGCGAATCACTCGAGAACAAATTTTCTTGGTTTGTGAGTTACATCAGTGTACTTAAAAATCATCTTATGATCAGGGATTCAAGAAATTCTTCAAGGAAGCATGGAATTGTATAAGGAGCAACCAGAGAAGGGTGAATATCAGAAAGGCCACATCGTTCCTTTCGACATCTTAGCATACAGCTATGATAGTGCTTTTGCCACTTTCTACTACACCAATTGCGTACCGCAAATTGCAAATTTCAACATAGGACAGTGGAAAAAGTACGAAAAGAAAATAGTCAACTATGCTTCGTCCGTCTGTTCTCCAAATGGTGGAACCCTTTACCTGATCACTGGTACATCACAGGTTCAATTTGAAGAAAAACGTAATCCTCAAGGTGAAATAACAGGGGTAGATACAACAGTCAAACCAATGGGGTTGTTCCATGACAACGTGGATATAAACCCGAATCTCGGGTCAAAGATCGCAATTCCAAACTCAATGTGGACAGTGGGCTGTTGTTGGAATGCTGAGAATGGAGTCGTGGGAGCGTTTGGTGTGATGGGCACAAATTCTTTAAACAAACCCTTAAATGAGTTTATGATGCCCAAACAAAGCGTCGCAGATGTTGAAAGCGTCCTTAAATTAGAGGATCAAAGAATTAAGTTGTTTCACGACAACAATTGCTATGCGCAAGGAAAAAACGTTGCGTTGGTCGATGTTCTCGGTTGATAGGAGCATGGGTACAATTGTTGACGTCAAGAATGTTTGGGCACCATGCATGAAATATCCAGATTCAAATCAAACTAAAATTTCTAGAGCTTTATTCCAACTCGTTAGGTTAAAACGTATAAATATGTATGTTACTTTATCTACAGAACAATCTCTATTATAATAAAGAAATGAGAACAGAGGAGTGAACTAAGTATTGAATAAAAATATATGGTTGTCCTAAAACATTTAATGGAATGTTTGGTATCTACCTTTCCTGTTTTTCTGTTTGTTTTTGTTTTTGTTTTGTTTGTTTGTGTGTGTGTGTGTGTGGTGTGTGTGTGTGTTTGTATGTGTGAACCGAGTTCCCCTAGTAATTGGATTGCTCACCCCAGTTAAGAGGCTTCGTTTACATTTGCAGAGAACCATTCTCTATAATTATCTAGATTGATTGGATTCTTTTCCCATTTTAGGCCTCTCTAAGAATAAAAGGGACAATAAACACAACAGCTTCCATTTGGTGTAAATATATGCACCGATATTTTAACTTGGACACTGTTCATAGAAGCTCACAGTTTTTTCCTCAGGTAAGATATCGTCCATAGACAAACATCCGCGCTTATAACCCACCCACTAATTTTCGCTCGATTATATGGCAACTTTGCTTCACGCAGTGCAAAATCACCAGACAGTTATCACGCGTTACAACCCATCAATTTCAATTTTACTCGATTC